GACCAGCGACAAGATCTTATGAGTCACTTCCCATATTTTACTGGCAACATCTATATTTCAAATAACAATAAGCATCTTATATACATAACACAAACTAATTCTTAAATGAAACATTAGAATTTTCGTAAGCTCCAGATATTACTAGGAGAAAAAACACCTCTTAAAATGGGAAAAACTATAGAGATATCTTCAAATTTACAGAATAAAGCTATTTAGCGAATCCCTGGGAGAATAAACATAGTGACAGATTAGAAAAAACGGAAACAGTTGATCAACAAGTATTAATTAATCTACAAGTAGAAACAAAGAAAGCGAGATCGTACATTAGTGATGTTTAGAACAATTTACTAGAGCAATAGAGGAATTAAGCAGGTTCAGGTGTACTCACTTTTAACATACCATTCTCTCTTTAGATGATCAAAATTACACAGCTTTCTCAAGATAGCACGGAGCTCCGGCATTTCATCCTTGAACTCATCCTAAAAATATGCGAGATGGCATACATTACGTGTACCGAAGAATGCTCAAAGATTTATAATAGAGCACCAACCTTGAACGTCTCAAAGATCATTTCAGTGTACGCTCTGCCGCCGCAATTAACAAGGAAATCGCGTAATTTTTCAGCCATGGCCACGTACTTGTCCTTGACAATCACTGCCTAAATTATTCTGACAGCAATTAGTCGCTCTAGCCCCAGCTTAATTTCAGGCCAACCGATGCTTTGCCTTCATTTGCTCTACGTTTCCTTGCATGAATTGCTGCAAAAAGGCTGTCGGTGACTCTTTCTCCTGTAAATGGGGCGTGCTCTGTGGTGGAGGTCGAGGCCGACAATGCAGCTGTAGATGGCGGGAACAGCGCCCGAAATTCTCGAACAAAGGACCTATTAGACCTGGAACAAAAGATGCATTTCTAAAAGAAAGAAAAGATTTGAACTCATTTACCTTTTCCCAAGTGCTTTAGCCGCATTGTTGGCTGCAGCGGCCGCTTCTTTTTCAATTAGATAATCAGATGGTTTATCCTCAACCAGATCATCATGTTTTATCGCACAGCGAACTCCGGCTGATTTTAGCAGACAACTTAGGACAAAGTCATCACTGCCCTTGTTTTCCAATGAAACTTCATGATTTCTTTTGTGTTTCTTCTCCTTTTTAGACTTTACATGACGATGGTGGCTGTCTCTAGAAATTGATTCTTCGGAGGCAGGACTATGATTGGATAGCCGAACATCTAGCTTTTTCTCGTTTGGTTGGTCTTCTGGCGTGGCTACTTTAGCTGAGGTTACTTCTTCCTCCTCGACAGACGCTGTCAAGCTCAAGCTCCTAAAATGCTTCTTTAAAGCGAAGAGCAAGCAGGATAGCTGCAGAAAAAATTTTCATGCAAAGCATTTTAAATACACAAATTTGTAAGTAAGCCTCTGAAAATTCAAAGGTATTTCAAAGCACAGAACAAACTAACTTTGCTAAACGCCTTGCTCGTTCACGTAGCTCTGCCTTCTTCTCTTCACTTAAAGAAGGAACTATTTCGGCATCGTCATCTTCTTCTGTTTCCTTGCTTCCTTTCTTCCTCTTACGGTGCTTTCTGAAACAAAACATCGAATCTGCGATTACCAACCAAGCAAAGTACCTTCGGTCATTTTCGTCGAAAAAGTTGTTTTTGCGAATTTCATCTGTTTCCGATGCAAACAGCGTACCCGTTTCCGTGGGAGCCTCTTTCTGCAAAAAAGCATACGTGCAACAACCTATACTTGGCGAATGAATGAAAGACTTACGGATACATCGGAAAGAGAAAATAAGTCATGTAGATCATTCGTTTTGAAAAACTGACGTTGTTTGGGATCCTTCAGAATGCGATTTGCCAAAAAGTGTTTGAAGATTTGCCTAAAAACTGAAGTTCAGAACTTCGAGCACAGTGACAGCCATTGTGATACTCAATCATCCACCTATGATAAACTTTTTCTTCTATGGTTCCCGCACAAAGCAATCTGTAAACCGTGACAGTGCGATCTTGGCCT